ACCTGGATCCAGCCCTCAGCATCAGGGGACACCGGGGTGCCCTGGCCCTTACCTTTCCTCGCAGGCTTGGTCGGAGGAGCATCGTCGCTCCCACGAGCGGTGGTCGTAGGGGTCCGAAGCAGCAGCCCGAGGAGTATGTGCTCAAACCTTTGCCACTGCCCTTATCACGAAGGGGAGCCTGTCGACCTTGGTCATTGTTTTTACGCTTATTGCTCGGGACGGGATCAGGTTTTGACGCTTAAGCCGGCGCTCTGGATCAGTCTCTTGCAAAACAAACACGAGGAGGAGTGGCAGCATCTTCCGTGGCTTGGCAATGGCTTCCTGCACAGCTTTTTGAATCAGGGCAGTGATCATGGGCATGAGCTGCTCCCGAGGCTGGCCATCAGACCCTCAAACGGATTCCCACCTCCGAACCTAAGACCTGGGACCTGGCACAGCATGGAATCAGCAGTCGACGTCACAGCGTCTTGCAGGTTGGCCTCGAAGTCAGTGGACACCAAGGCCGCGTCCGTGTACTCCAGGTAGCCCTTCATGTCTCCCTCGGAGCGCTTCTTTCATCTCGACGCAGATCTTCTCGCAGGTGGTCTCCTTCCCAACTCCACGGTCAGGTCAACCACCATCCGGCACGCGCAAAGCCATGCCGGTCAGCTTGCCCTTCATCCGGAATGACCTTCGCCACTGCCTTGGCGGTGCCGGTGGAGCTCGGAAGGATGTTGCCAGGGCCGGCGCGGCCACCACGCCGATCCTTCTTGGAGGTGCCATCGACCGTGGGCTGAGACGCAGTCATGGCTGGCAGGTGGTCAGGCCGGCGCTTGATGCCGAACTTCTCCCGTAAGACACGCACGGCTCCTGTCTACGCCTCTCGTCGGCCTCATCTTGGCCATTATTACTTGTAACGTCTGCTGTTGGTTCTGCATCATCACCTGCTAACTCTGCATCATTTGCATAAGCTGCTGCAGTTGAGGATCAAGCCAACAACGCCAGCAGGAGAAGTCGGAGGTACTGGCACTTGCTGTGGTGTAGGCTGAGAGGGAGCAGACTGACTCTCGGCAACTCTGTCCTGACGGACCGAACAAGGTGTAGTTGGGAATCTTGACGATCTAAGGTTTAGAAACCCTTTTTAAATGTTTTGGGGTACATTTGAGGATCTTCGATCTCTACACACGCTCCGCTACCATGTGAAAACACAGCAGCAGCGCGCTGAACCCTCTTTTTCTCTCATGGCTTGAGCCAAAGTGGACCTGGAGGCTTCGTCAGCAAAACCTTTCGCGCGGTTACTAATTATTAACGAAAAATAAATTAGCGCGCCCGAAGCGCGCGCCGCCAGCGAAAAAAAAACGTTTTTTAGCTTGCTTTCGCTTCCGACAACAGCTGTTTTCGCTTTACCAGTGAGGACTTGCACTACGTAACGTAAAGCGGCTTGAAAGCGGACATGTTGGACTCAGACCAGCCAATTCTGGCGAAGGGAAGTGTTTGCCACACTGATGGCGTAAAAGTGTTTCGGTGGTTGTCCAGTCATTGAACGATGGAACTTTGGTGGTTGTCCAGTCCATTGAACGATGGAACTTTGGTAGACGCACTATCGTTTGAGTTTGTCTTATCTATTTTTTGGGTCCGCCGACTCTTGTCTGCTCTTCGTAGTGGTCCCCAACCCAAACCTGGACCCGCATTTTCTTCGAAAACTCTGGGTGGGGTTCGTGCTTCACACACGTGTGTGCAAGCTTCAAACCCGCAGGGAGTTCTCGAGACCTACACAAACTACACCCACCTAACTCAAAAGGACAGTCACTCCTAACTCTTTCAAAAGCACTGCAGACTTCGGTGAGCCTCCAAAGGCGCACCTAACTCCACAGGAGCACAGCAGCTGCAGGACAACCAAAAGTACCATGCCTTAAGCAGGACTTTTCACAATTTTTGCAGTCTGACGCCCTTGCATTCGCACTCCAACCCA